GCGGTGATTGCTTTCGAGTCTAAGTGCTGCATTATAGAAAGTCAGCTTCTGAGAATACTTTGGTAGAATCGTTGCAATGTAGATGCACTTCCCTCCGAAATCTTCTGGACCATAATAACTATTGTCTGTAGAAACCTGCCAAGCACCTTCACTACGGAGTCCTGTATTGACAACCTTTTTTTGACCATCAGGAATTGGAATATATCTTTCTTCTTCACAACTTTCAACATGTCCTCGTACAGTTGATATCGCTGCAATTAAACGGGGCAGTCTTTTAAGAGGAACTAGCCCACCCGCGGCATCTTCAACATTGGTTGGTTCCTTCCTGAATGGATCGCTGACCCTGATCACCACTGGTAGAATTGAGCAGCCGGAGGCGGGCTCATTCCGAACTTGACACCAGCCCCGACTGATTGCGATATTATAACCTATAGCTATACTTCAAAGACATCTCTCCAGGAAAGTGTAAGCATTAGGAATTCAGAAGCATTAGTACTAGAGATTGACTTCCTAAAGCAGCTCGAGCATATTTCCTGCACCAACTATTCCGTACTCCTTTCCGAGAACATCGTTCTGCTCAACTATTTGTTCAGCTCAGAATTGATTCGAGTCGTTCTTCCCTCGTTCAATTCGATAACTGAGCGCTGATTTTGACCTTTACTATTCCTTTCAGTTTTTCGAGGTTTTCATTCTGTGGCCAAGTTGGCTAGTTTCGACGAATACCTAGCGGAATGTACTAGCTCCCAAGCGATATAGGAGCTAATGACTCTAGCCCCTTTTCTATCTCGCCACTACTCTATAGTTATTTCCGCTCCTGGCGCTGGGCGTGTCAGGGAACTGGGTTTGACGCGGCGCCAGACCGTTTCCACCAGACGTTTTCATTTGACCGCTTCCAAAGCTGGTGAGAAACGGGTAGGCGCCGTGCAATGCAAGCCATCGCTGCGAGCACGAAGATACGTCCCCAAGTCTTTGAACTAGGTGATCAAATAGAAGAAGTATGGATTACTGGCGGTAAGCAATCGACTGATTGCAAATTTCAGCGTCCACAAACTTTCTCTCACTAATTGCAACTATTAAACAAGTGATCTTAGGTTAGAGCTTGAAATGGGATTCAAACGTGCCTGTAATTTGCGATCCGCGAGGATGGATGGTGATGAAGGAGTGCAACGTGGTTGGCTAGGTGGTGGTCTCGTTTCGTCGATGAAGTGCTGCAATAAGTTTAGGCATAAATAGCCGTTCTTTCTGTAGGTCAATTAGCTATCATAGGCAGTGGGTTAAAGACTAGTAGGCGGGCGCTTCTCCATCTCTTGATTTTTATCACCATGAAAGTAGCCAGGCTAAAACATTTTCCTTGTATCCTTCAATCGCGTTTCGCGAACAAAAATCACATAGAGAGTAGGGAGAGCTATCCACACAATCAAGGGTCAGTGACGCTCCTTTTCTGGCGTGGTTCGAAGAGTTCTTATCAGGGGATCGGCTGGGCGGAATGAGGTGTGTGTGTGGAGAAGGAGTTTACGTGATGCAGTACAGTTGGAATTGGGACTGGCGGTCTAATCTGGAACCTGGTCTGGCAAGAATTTTTTTTTGTTTTTTCCTCACTGTCGAGTTCCCAGAACCTTGTCGACTTTGTGCAAAACCTTATCTGAGATGGCGAATGATCGCGGGCTTTGCCTTTATGATTAGCTACTTTTCTCACATTTTTCATTCTCGATCCCTTCATCTTTCTCGACAGTATGTGGCATCTTGGGAGAGTCCCACGGAGGGACTCCACTTGGCTACTTGGGAGGGAGAGCCGTAAGGGCAATGGTCAGTTATCAGTGAAGAGACAGGCGGAGAAAGATAAGCTAAGTTGGCGAACTGCGGAAATTAGACACGCCCGTTGTTTAAAAAAAATGAAGAAACAAAAATGAGCGGATAAATTGATAACAAAATTGTAAAGCAGTAGGGCTCCCTGGTGTCAGTCCGCCACGAAAGGAATCATGTAGTGATTATGATAGCATCCTCATGCAGCTTTCTGAGAAGTTGGTGATTTAGCAGGCAGTGCCGGGGAGATAAGAGGTAACATGCAAATTCGCTTGAAGATAAATGTAGGGAAAAATGTCGCATCAGCTCAACGTGCAGCCATCTCACAGCCGAGCGCTGGTTTTATTTTTAATGAAAGTAGCGAGCACAATGGGTCAGGTGATGTGGTGCCAGATTCTTCTGCATTTAAGTGTGCTCTATTACAGAAGCTACACCGACCAATCAATTAACCAGTCCAAGAGCTCCCGTAGTCTAAATCCACCCCTCACTGATGACAATTAAATGTTCAAGAGTTGATGTCAGAATGTAACATGAACGTACCGTGCGAACGCTGTTGCAAGAAGGCCCCTCGGAACAGAGGTGTCGACGATCTGGGAGCCGCTGCTGTTGTTGTAACAACTTAAATACAGATGTGTTCCAAGTGTTCTGCTTAATTTTTTTGTGAGGCATCTGAGGACGAACTTATGGTCCAAAACGTCCTCCTCAAAAGAAACGGACGGAAGGGCGTCGTATTAGCAAAACACAAGGACGCAATAATTTTGTTTGTAACATTAAAAGCTCCTGGTCTCGCAGGCAATGCGCACTTGTTCCTGAAGTGGCTGGGCTAATTACTGTTATTGTACAGCAGGAGAAACAAAACAGAAACAAAAGAAAAAAAAAAACTAAAACTCACCGGTGCAGGCCTGTCGTCGCGTTTTGTCGCAGAACGAGCATGACTTCCTGCAGTTCTCTTTCATCCACATCTACTCGAGTCTGACAATCCTCTGCGGTTTTCTGGGCACGAAGATGACAGATCGGCACAGTCACTCTGTGGCTCTGAAAATCGTAATATACGTCGGCTGAATCTCTGATGTGTGTTTGTTTGACTGGGCATTAGTACTCCTTTCTGCTCTACCAGCAAATCGTTCAAACTGAAAAACGGTATGTTGAGATGGTAGTTACCAAGCCTTATTATGGTACTTATTGTTACAAAACTGGAGCACTCCCCTTATGTTCTCGGCACAAGGGTTAGTGTCGATATCTATGAATAACCCCTTAGCTAGAGCACATTGCCATGTAAAATAATGATTAGGTTCTTTATGTGAAGGATTACAAGCTTTTTATCTGTCGAGCAATTGGGAGGCGCAATGTCCTTTTTGAGCACTCCTTCGGTAGATCCAGCCTGTACTGGAATCACTTTGTATGGTATGTACCTATCCCAGGACCCTCACCTCGCTCGAGGACTGTGTTGGTGGGCTTGAGACTTCCATATGATATCGGATCGCCCGGCTACGCTGGACCGGGCGGCGTTCTCACCACTGATTCGTTTCTAAGTCGATCAATTGCTGGTCACCATTGGTGGAGCGAGGCAGCTGTGGGCGTGCTCACCCGTCCTCCCCACACCGCTGCGACTGACTGCGATGCCACAAACTATACTCAGTGGCCCGGTTTCTAAGCGACAACATGAACGGAAATCTTTCTAAGGTAGCGGCCATGCATTTAGAACAACAGTTGCTTAACACCAGTAGTGCGATTGGCTTGCCTCTGGGCACAGCTAGTAGCATGCCGTATAACGAGTCTGTGTGCTTCGCCTGTGGATGGAGCACAAAACGGTATCCACCTACCACCACCCTTCAGCCGCTTCCGCGCCCTTTCGAGTGACGGTAAAATACACTTTTGCAGCCGCGCCCTGCTCATGTCACATATGACAAGAACCAGGATCCTCGGATGTGAGTGTAGAGCGTAACGTCAAGGATAAACTGTACACTCACCTGCGTGGATCCTTCCTTGCCGTATGGGAGAGGGTCCGCAACTAAAGTAACGGGCCACTTCGCTCGCTGACAAGTGAAGCGGGAGGGCAGTGATTTCCATACTCCGCCCGCGCTGCCGCGCGGCCTACCTAAGGCCTAAGGCAGTAAAGCAGCGTCTGACTTCGCGTCGACATGCTACCACTGCAAGGGCGCCCGAATGCCATAGACGCGGAACCAGCAGCAGACGGAAATCGATCAGCGCTGATCGCATGTGTTTTGAGATAGTGTAGGATAGAAAGAGCTTAGTTGCTGCCTCCACACAACCTGGTACCTTTCTACTCCTCTATACTCTACTGAATAACCCGCGAACGGTACGGATCGATACCAGAATTCGTGATCAGGCAAAGTGTTCTCTTCCCTCCCCCTCAAAACACATGCGGCTGGCGCCTTCCCGTCTGCGGCTGCGCTCGCTTCTATAGCATTGGAACGCTACTGCAATTGTAGCGCGTGACGCCTGTCATCACAAAGTCTGAACACTGTCCAATTATAGGCATGAGCGCTGTTTGTTTGTTCTCTGTGTCACTTCTGGTCATTCTCCACTGCTAGTTGCGCGTTTCGGGGACCTTGGTATCAGTGCAAGCGCTGCACCCTCTAGATAGCGTTGGTGGAGTCCGCTTCCGGGTAACACTAACACTGAAGCCAATCCCCGTGCAGTTTTGAGCGAAAAAAGTGCCTTTTGGTTGCTGCAGCTGCGGAGCTATGGCGACAACTTCCTCGGAGCTGTGTGTACAGTTTGTCCTTGAGCGATGCCTCGGTCTCATTATGTTTGATACTAAGAGAGGAGAAAAATAACTGTCGGTAGTTCCTACCAACAGTGAAGTTGTAGTTAGCCGTACATAATCCACAAGCAGCTTTGCATGAAGCATTCATATATGTCGGATTTCGAGAGCAATATCCGGCGTTTGCCCACAATGAACAACATTCATTTTCATTGAGGCATTCCTGAAAACAAGATAATGGAGTGTTAATTAGCCTACATCTTCGTATACGTATCCTTTCGTGGAAAGTTGGGAAACACTGGACGAGATACTCGGGAAGTCGAGATCACAATAGAAACAGAGGGCGATAATTGCCTTCACGCTTTGAAGGGGTTCATATGCCAGAGAAAAAAGCAAGACACTCCCTTACATAGCCAGCAGCTCAATGGGAAGTTTAATAGGGTGTAAAAACTGCAAGGGTCCCTATAAGAGACGTGGTGCAAGTGTTTACATACCCTATCTATGGTCTGCGTTAGAAGCAAAACTCATACGGATTTGCAGTTCTGTTCGCTCTGGATGATGGAACCGTCAGGGGAGTAGGTATGGCGCGCTGCCAATTCCGTTTTTTTCTTGTCTGTTGGTAAGCAACAAGACACTATTATATCGTACGTATGAGTCGTTTTCCACCAATTTCGGTGGCTTACCAACCTCAACAAGCGATGGAGAACGGGCTGCCGCCACCCTCCGCAGCGAACAAGACTGTACATGCCAGCGATAAATGGCTGCAGCTAGGAGTGTATCCTCATTGGGCGGATTTTGCATCACCTTTTGCATTACACCGACTTGGTCGGTGGGAGAGAATGGTCGTTTCCGAGCTGAGAAATTTTTTTCTGACAATTGATCTTTCTTGTTTCAGGGACGCTGCAGAGGGAGGGGGGGGAGGTGGGTTGTATTTGCTCGTCGTTTGGAGAGGGGCTCGTATTCCCCTTCTGAGCCTCTGAGAGAGAGGTCGATGACTTTTCGTGGTTTTTCTTGTTTCATATGTACAATATACCAACCCGCTTGACACCAACTTTTTGGATAAAAACAGGGGATTTTTGGGAAATCCCGAATGAGCGGTACGAAGTTGGGGAGAACCTAAGAAATGGTAGAGAGGGGGCCGTGTTTTCCTCGTGGTACCCCCCCCCCCCCTCGACAGCTCGAGGAGGAGGGACCAGGGTGCTTGTACCGATCCCGTAAGAACGGGAGGGGAAATCGAAGTCGTAACCGGTTGCGAGCTGAAATCCCATGCCTTGGAGCCTTGGGACGGGGCGTTGCCTAGGCGTAAAGAGGACCATCAACGGTGTATTGAGGCTACCGACCTACGGCTGCGGAGCGACCGTGGAGAAGCCTGCTCAGGGTCAAGAATCATGCCGCGCAAGATAGGGATTGGGTGACCGTACGACCCCCCCTCCCTTTCCTCCCAACAAGTGTGAAGTGTGTGGGACTTTCTACTGTGTTCATCGGGACGTAGCTGTATATGTTGTTTGGTAGAGGAATTTACCTAATAGGTAATTGGGTATCTAGAAACATTTACAAAACCAATGAAACAAAAGCGCTGAAAGTTGGAGAGTCCCTCTGAAGTAGAGTAATGCACAAAAGGAACTGTTGAAATAACCTTACAATGACGCCACTCAAACGAAACAACACGAAGGCGAGGCACTGAGCGTACTGCGGTCGTGTCGCGTATTGGGACTGGAGTGCTATCGACGCATTGTTTTGGCATAGTTTTTTTGAAGGATAACTTCAATCAAGAACTATCTTTCACAGAGAGGTAAGAACGGTCATTTTGTATGGGCAGGTCTATACAAAATATTCTACAGCTTTCATCGAGCTGCATGACGGCTCCTGACCAAAAAAAAACGTGCAATTTCTGGGCGACCGCGAGTTTTTTACATCTTAATGAGTATGACTTCGTTCAGACACTGTAGAACGGAGGACTGCACGGCTCTGGAGACTAGAACGTTTTCTCCCTAAAGAATACTTCAAATCTCCTTAGCTCAACTATCGCAAAAATTCGCTTTTCGACTTTGCCCTTAAAATCAGCTTGAACTGCCGCGCCTGAGGATCTCCTCACTATAAGGTTCCATATGCCTTCCAGAATGCTCGATGGGCTTCCCGTAAACCTCCTCATGTAGCGAATAGGATCTGCAGCACAGAGGCGCTGAACACCACTTTGGAACGCGCTCAGTACTTGACTTCCTTTCCGGACGCATCGCCTATGCTAGTAAGCTACGCCGCTGCTGTGTTCCTGACCCTTGCAAACACGACCCCGCACCTGGGGTGGGGCCGAATACAACCCGCCTGTCGCGCATTCCGTTCTTGACTGTGGGCCAAGGGCACATCGTTGTTGGGGAATCCCCAATAGGGGGGGGGTCGTATTTGGGCTGGGAAAAATTTATTTTGATAGTTGATTTTTCTCGCTTCATGGACGTTGTAAAGGGGGTCGTACTTGGTCATTTTTGGGAGGAG